CGTTCCTTTAGCTGCCTCACGCCTTTCGACCAATCTTTAGCTGCCTCATACTTTGCAAGAGGCGTCGAATTTAGGAGCTAACAAATACATTTTCATATTTTAAAATCAAGTTTTATATATAATTTTATGGTTGCAATATGTTACACGAATTGACATTGCGCCCTAGTGGTAAGACTAATATTTTAAGTGTTTGTGTGTATGGAAGGTTTGGGGTTTGAATCCTCCTCGCCCCAAACTTTTGACTTTTTTTGACTTTTGTTCATTTTCATGTTGAAGCTTCATATTTATTTTCTTGCACGCGCTTTCTAACACATGATAGCATATGGTCTGATGGTAGATGTTTTAGGACCCAAGATGGGTGGTGTGGGTTCAAACCCCATGAGTGACATTCCCTTTCTTTTTTTACCACCCTTTTCATTTCCTCTTTTTATTTATTTATTATTATTTATTTATTTTCAAATTATTTTTATTCATTCTATTTAATTTATTTTCCATTCTTTTTTTAATACATCAAAAATACCAAAAACACTTTTATTATTATATTCCACCCTTTTTATTGTTTTTTTTATCATTATTAATATTAATTACATTTTGTCAATTTAGTTATTTATTTCTTAAAATCTTTAAAAACCTTACAAATATTTCTATGACTTTTCCCTTTTATTTCTCCTATTAAAATGACTAAAAATATTGTCTTGCATTGTAGTTGTTTAAATGTTCACATGTTTCTTTTTCACTTTTCATCACTTGTTAAAGATTTTTTCAAGTTGTTAAAATGTAAGTGCTTACGCTTTTGTTTAGGGTTTTGCCTTGTTGATTCTTGATTGTCAATTCTTATTAAAAGTTGATCATGATAACATACTTGTCCTTATGTGTACATGTTGATATGTTGTTCTATTATGTTTATCTTATATAGTTCATAAGTTACCATGCTTTGATTTAAGTCATGATTTGGTACTTAACCTGTCTTGTTGAAGCATACCTAGTAAACTTGTATTCATGCTCTTCTTGTCCACATGAATGTAGTAGCTTAGGAATACCATGATCAAATGTGTTTGTTTATGAACCTTGTCCATGCTTTAAACCATGCCAACTTTGTTTCTTATGTTTATCTTCCTTTTGTTGAATAAATGGTGAATACTTGTTTGTCCATGTTGCCTAATTCTAAGGGAAGGTTTTTGTTGTTGACATCATCGTCATTTACATATGCATATTTACTCATTTTTGTACATATATTTCTTCTTGTAATCCTTAAACTTGCTATCCTTTAGGAAGTTTCCCTTAGGATCATTTACAACTTATGTGAGGGAAAGTTGTCTCAATCCTTGTTTTAATGATGTCAAAACATGTCTAGTTAGTACTTCGTATTTTGGACGGTATCATCGAGTCTCATATGCATTCGTAGTTCTCTCGTGCACAAAAAATTCTCAAAAACATGAGTTTATTCATATAGAAAAGCATTATATGTGTTTTGTGTGGGTTTGATCTTTTTGAAAGACTTAGATGTGCATTAGTAGTGTTTAGAAATAGCAAGACATGTCAAAAATAACCTTTTTGGAAATTTCGAGCATTTGAGTCGACTCAAAGCCTTGCTTAGGTCGACTCATACAAATTGAATATTAAGCTTTTACTCTCAGGAGTGCTCACGTCGACCCTCCGATTGACTCATACTGTTAGCATTTCAATTTGTCAATTCTGGGCAGGTTTGCGTCGACGCATGAACTTGCTCCGATCGATGCATAGAGTCAGTTTCTGCCTAATTTTGAAAGCGGGAGTGCTCAGGTCGACCCCCTTTTCTTTAGGTCGATCGTTCGCTCGAGTCACCTTATTTTTCTGATGTGTTTGACTTTTAAATTGTTGTTGTGTTAGTTACTTGGTCTTAGCTTCATGTATATATTCTTTTTGGCTCATTCTTTCAACAATAACAAGAAAAGTGAAATATTAACACTGATTTTTCTCTCATCATCTTCATCCTCTTTCTTGCATTTTCTCAACAATTACACATAACCATTTTTGTTGACCGTTTTGCATCATTGAGGTGATAAATTTCAAATACACGATATTGTATTGTGTTTGGATTGACAGATCAATGAGTTTTTCTTGAATAAAACTGTTAGGATTTTGTCCTCCAAGAATCTTGGGATTTTGGGATTTTTTGCACAAATTATTTCTTCACAGATTCAACCGAGCGAAGGTGATTGAAGAACGAGTGGTTCTGTCAATCTAGTAGCGGTAACCTGAGGGTTATAGAAGGAAGATTTATGTTCAAATTGTGTGTGATTGAAACCAGTCAGGCTAAAGATTTGAAGACCGTTGGGTGGTTCAAACGTGTAACTGGAATCAGAGGTTTATTCAACACATTCGAGGCATTTGATTGATCTTAAAACAAGGGGAGAGAAGACATATTTTCAACATCAACAACTAGGTTTGAGTGTATGATTACTATTGCTTCTCTTGTACAAACATTTGCAACACGTTTATATAGATCTCAATTCTATTTTTAGAATTAAGGGCAGACGTACCCCAAGCGAGGACGACGGGGGAACTGCCTCAACAAATTTGATGTTGTTCTCTATTTTGCTATTTTTCTATTTTTGAATTTTAACGTTTGTGTTTAATCAAATTGCAGTAAAATTCTGGTACAGTGTATTGCTGACAAATATTTTTGAAAGCTCATTACAATCCTTTTGATTGTAATTTAAAAAGTTCTGCACTACCATTACTTGTAGAATTTCACTTGGAGTGTGCCGCACACCAAGTGTTCGACAAATTGATCAAACACAAACCATTTGGGTTGTTTTCAATTTGAGTTTATTTTCACAAGCCATTGGAAATTGCACAACTTTGAGTGAATAAAATTGTATTGATTGGGGTTCAAATTTTTGATTCAGTTTTTCTCATCGGAGTCGATATTCCATCTAGGCTTATCACATATCTGATCTTTTCAGTAACGGTTTGTTTAGACGATCGTAGTTCCTCGGCTGCTTCCGCATAAAATTTTAAAAACTAAATTTCATTTAAGTGCCGACTCTGTATAGGAATTAGTGATCTATTCAACCCCACTTCTAGATCATTGTCGTTGTCTAACAAGAGACATTCAATTAGGGTTTTTCCTTTCTCAAACTCAAAACCACTTTCAATAAAAACCTTGACTTTAGGTCATTGATCTTTTCAAACTTTTCTTAAAAAAATGTTTTAGGACATCTTAAGCATGTTCAAACTCTTTAATAAATACTAAAAGACATAAACTTCAATTTAAACCTTTTGCCATTTGGCTTTTCAAATTAAAACCTTTTCAAATAGGTTAGACAATAATCATCTCTAGTTGAGATATAATTCTCCTACCCCATGACATTGTTGAGGAAGATGTTGACTCTTTACCACTTGAGAGAGGTATGTGGCATACTTGTTAATTCTATATCCAAGTTGGAGCCTTCTCTCAATGTGAAACAAATATCCATCTTTCACATGTTTGTGGTTGATAAGTTGAGTATTCTCCTTAAGATGACAACTTGTCTCTTCTTCATTAAAATCCACCTTAACAAATCCCTTTTCAACGAACTACGAGGTTTGATCCTTCATTGGTACGTAGACACAAGACACCGTGTCTTGCCAAACACAAAAATAAATAAAAAAATATTTCTCTTCTCATATCCTCAATCAAACCTAAGTAGCAAACAATTTAACAATAATACAAATACAACAAGGTGTTCCTATAGGATACTATAGATACTTAGGTTGCTAATACATTCCCTTAGTATAATCAATTCTCGAACCTTAGATCTCTTTATTGCATTGTTTTGCATTGCATGTTTATGAGTTGTTCTTTCTTTACCCCTTTTACTGAATAAATTAAAAAATCAGTAGTAATATCTTAAGATTTGTGAAGTCTAACTAACTCAATAATTATAGTCTTCAATTCTCAGCGCGACAATTTTCTTTAGACTTAGATAAGTTAACCTCCGACCGTTAATTAATCTGACCTATTCTAACCGAAAGTTAATCTATAATAATATATAAAAATAAAACATAATTTTGTTGAATGTATATTGATACTAAAAATATCCTTTTCAATTCTTGTATAAATCTTAACTTCTCATTCACTGTCTATTAAATGACAACTTACATATTTCTTTCATCCCATTATCTTCTATACCATTTTATAATAATTAAAATTGAAATCAAAATTATAAAAAATACAAAAACACCGTTTAATAGACATAAAAAGAGAAGAAAAAAAAGGACAAAAGGGTACACCTGTAAATATAGCGAAACGCGTTGGGCATGCCCCATGCCTATGGCGTACCCAACAGAGAGGCCGCGTATTAAACAATGTAAAGCCCGCCCTTTTTACGTTTCTCTCCGCTTTTTGCTTTTTGATTTTCATATTACAATTACATTCATATATTAATAATAATTTAATCTAATAAACTTATAACTTAAGTAAGGTGAAACAGAAGGGGATCAAAATAAAAATTCAAATCTAAGATCAAAACGCTAAAATAAACAATATTACAATATTACAATATAATAATATAAATAATAATAGTATTATCATTGTAATAGAATCGCACTAATGTTTCCTTGGAAGAAGGGAAAGAGAGGGGTTGTAACAAGATTCTCCAATTCCTCTCCTTAGGTTTTTCTCCTCCTCCTCCTTCTCCGATGACGACGAAAAATTCTTCTCCATTTTGCGTTCATCGGAATTGATCGTATTAGGTACATGGTAATACAATGTCTCTCATCTTTCTAATTTTTTTCTTCTCATTTCATCATCGTATCTCTAGATTCCATCATAGGTTGCATGCGTAATTAATCACTGTTAAGCGCGACGATTATGGATACAATTTAGAGAGATTTTTACCGTTTTTGTGCCCTAGGATTTCTTTTTTATTTGATTTTGGTATTAGTGCTTTTTGTTTTGTTTATGACATGATTTAGCAATGATTGCGGTTTCATTTTGAATGGTCAGGTTGTGTACGTTTGGTAGGCAAGTTGAAATGTTAGATTTGGGAATTTTCATTTTGAGGTTCATTACGAGCCCTGATGCTTCTATTGCTTCTATTTTTGGATGGCTGATCACTGGATCGTTTGGACTTGTGGCCGTGATATATGCTGTTCTCAAGTGGCAGCGAAGGGCGTCTTTGAATTGGATTAAAGCTGCAGCTAGGGAAAAGAAGAAAGTTTGGAAGAAATTTAAAGTACCGCTATCGGAACATTTGTGGGTTGAGGATTTTACTTATGGCGAACAGCCATCCACTTGTTGTTTCTGCTTGACTTCTTTATGGCCTTCTCAAAATTTAGGTGCAACAGCCACACCGCATACTCCTCTCCATCGTTGCTCGGTTTGTGGCGTTGCAGCTCATTTTCTTTGTTCTCCATTTGCTGCGAAGGATTGTAAGTGTGTGGCTCAGGCTGGTTTTAGTCATATTAGACACCATTGGTCAGAAAGATGGGTTAATATAGATGATCATCATGAGATGTCTACCTTCTGCTTTTACTGTGACGAAGCGTGTGGTGTCCCGTTTGTTAAATCTTCTCCTACATGGCACTGCCGTTGGTGTCAACGCCTCATTCATGTGAAGTGTCATAACAAATTGACTAGAGATTCTGGTGATTTTTGTGATTTGGGTTCTTTGAGGCCAATTGTCCTCTCCCCTCTTTGTGTCAAAGAAGTTGATGAAGATCAAAAGGAAGGGAAGTTAAGTTCTATTATAACCTCTTCCGTTCGCGGTCAGATTAGAAAGCGGCGTAACCATAATAAAAATGGAGGTGGTTGCCATGCTAATGGTAAGTCACGAGGTTCCTCTGTTGCTGATGCATCATTATTAGAGTATGTGTTTAATGGTTTCCACCGGAAAAAGGACAAAGATGGGAAGCTCTTTGATTCCACAAATACACCTGGCCCAATCAAGAAATACACATTGGTTGATTTGCCAAATGATGCAAGGCCACTTTTGGTCTTTATCAATACCAGAAGTGGTGGGCAGCTTGGGCCTTCTCTTCACAGAAGATTGAATATGCTACTAAATCCTGTTCAGGTGATTACTTGGTTCTTATTAATAACATGCCTTTTATGGAAGCAGTGGCTGACATCTTTATTTACCACATTGCAATTATATCTTAGATATTTTAGACTGAGATTGGATTATATGATTTAGGAGTTCATTTGAGAAGAATTTTTTTGTGATCTTAGATCAGCAATAACTTGATTCAAAATCTATCCTTTGCACCGCCTTGAATATATTATACACAAATCTGATTTTTGAGATATAGTATGTTTCAGATATGACTGTTGAGTGATGACTCTACTAAAAGTCAATTGAAATCTAACTTTCTTCTTTTTTCTACAAATATTCGGCAAAGCAAAATAGTTATGGAACAGTATGCTAATATCTGTTTACCTTCACATTTTTAAAAGAAAAAATATAATTTTTTGCACATTCTTAATTCTACACATTGTGCTGATTGTGACATATTGGCTTTAACATTATGTGATTTGAGTGACTGGGTTCACGATGTTTAAGTATAAAGGATTTATCGCAAGTAAAACTCTAGTAGAAATTTCCTTGTGGATTCCACTGATGGAAGGACAAAGACCCCATTTATGAACCATTGTCGTAGCCTTTGCTGCCACTCTCTTGGATTTGGTTAACTTGATAATTCTTTTGGGCAGCAGCTGGATAAATTCGTAAATCCCACTATTGTTGCTAATGAAGGGAAATCTTTCCCATACGCCACAGTGGAAGTTCAACTGGACTGTAGACTCCAACTTCTACAATAATGCACTGATTTTTGCTTCTTTCTAGTTTTTCCAGCATTCTTTGCAATGACTTATCTGATTTCAAATTTATTTCTTGCATTGGTGATTCACAATATGTTGAACTAGTCGCATTACCTAGCTTTCTTGCCCAAGAACACGATTTTTGGTGGATGTGTCTCGGTCCTTCATAAACATTTTCTTGTTGCTGAGACAAGATCATCTTTGGAGAGGACCTACAACTTGTTCGAATCACTGTGGAGTATCTTTACTCCTTGACCCATCAACTTTTTAGACTCGCCAACCCCTTTCACACCCTTCCCGATCAGAGTTTGTAGTCTCTTCTATTTCTTGGTCGCAACAAGAGTTCTACTTCTTCAGCATACATTTAAGCATCTTCTTTTGCTCAAGACAACGCAACACATGACTGCTGGCTCCATTCAAGTCTGCTTCAGAATATTCCACTGCTGCTGCTTGTGATTCCATCCTCGGTCCTCTTCTGGCAGCAGCTTGAGATTCTTCCTTTTCCATGTCATCCTTGTCATCATCCAAGAAATTGTTGAACTTCGAGTTGTAATCAGTTTCTGAAGAAGTTCTTGATCTGGTCCATGTCAGGGACTCTGATGAGTTTTTCTCTGACCTGTTCCAGATTTTTTTCATCTTCTGCAGATTCTGGCCGCAATCATCCATCAGTTTCTGAACAGAGTGCATACAATTTTCCATGGTGCCGACCATCGTAGCGGCTGGTCGGACCAATTGTTAGAAACATTTCTTTTCGTATAAGAAAGAATGCCCAAAACTAGGCAGAATTGAATTAGCAGAGGAACAATTTTATTGAAAGATTGAGGAAAGATAAAAGAGAATAGGAGAAAATCTCGCCGACAACGGTTTCCCTTCTACAATAAAGTCACCACTCTCTATTCACAAACTTTACAGTATTCAAAAGATGCTCGCTACCCTGTGTTCTCTAATTTTAATACTTTTTCTCTATATCAACCTCAACTAACTAACTTTTATAACAAATCTTATCTACCTTAACAACTCTTATTTCACTTTATTCTATAATCCTGACAATATCCACAAACTTCACAATATTTCCAAGATGCTTTCCACCCTGTGTTCTCTTACTTATACACATACTCTATAACAATCTCAACTAACTAACTTCTATAACATCTTTTAACTACTCTAATTTAATTTCCACAAAAAACCTTGTGGCTGTCTTGAATCCTACAATTCCTGATTGCATAAACTTTGTTGAGTAAGTTATCGTAATCTGTTTGTTGTTTATGAAAGTTTATGAGTGAGTGTTCTGGTGTTTGTATTGAGTATTAAATCTTCTTTAAAACTGCTAATAGTTATTGGTTTCTGTTAATTTTCTAATCATTCAGTCAGTACTGTGTTGCATGCGAAATTTAATAAATTGTGTTTTGTTACCGGTTTCTGTTAATTTTCTCATCAAACAGGGTATTATTTAAAAAAAACTGCTCAAAATTCTTGTTCCCTTATGGTTGATATCTGTATGATATTAATATAATAGAGTAATGCTTCATTAAATCCCACTCAATAGTTCTTTAAGGACAAATTAACAATGAGAATGGTTGTCTTGTCTTCTTGCAATACTTGTCTGAGCATTAACAATGAAATGTCTTCTTACTTTTGTATTCTAGCAATACTTGTCTGAACATTTTAATTTTTTCCATCACATATAAGTTTCTCAAAGGACATTTTCTGGTTTGGTGTTTTACTGCAGATCTTTGTATTGAGTGTTTCTCAAGGTCCTGAGGTAGGTCTTGAATTGTTCAAAAGTGTACCATATTTTAGAGTGTTGGTATGTGGTGGGGATGGCACTGTTGCGTGGGTCCTTGACGCTATAGAAAAGTACAATTTTGAGTCACCTCCACCCGTTGCAATTATTCCCCTAGGCACAGGAAATGATTTATCCAGAGTACTTAATTGGGGAAGAGGCTTCTCTGCACTTGATGGACAGGGTGGGTTGACCATGCTTTTGCATGACATTAGCAATGCAGCAGTTACTATGCTAGATCGTTGGGAAGTTAAACTTGCAGAAGAAATCTCCAAAGGAAAACCTCATAGAGTTAAAACTAAATCCATGATGAACTACCTAGGTACTTCACTGAAACAAAAATATATCTAGGATTGTTTCTTAAGAATTACTGACATCAGCTTATTTTTATAGGCATTGGGTGTGATGCAAAGGTTGCATATGAATTTCATGTTACTCGAGAGATAAATCCCGAAAAGTTTAGTAGTCAGGTACATATTCTCCATTTTATGGTTATGTTATAGTTCTCTGAAGTCTTATCTAGGGCATTTAACTTGCAATCCTTGAAAAGCCTTCACTTTTTTGTGTATATTTATTTCTGATGATAGTTGTATTAACAGTTTTTGAATAAATTACGATATGCAAAAGAAGGAGCAAGAGACATCATGGACAGAACTTGTGCTGACTTGCCATGGCAAGTATGGCTTGAAGTTGACGGGCAAGACATTGAGATTCCCAAGGTTAATTACCGACACTGATAATTATTTGCACATTCATGTCAGCGAATTATGTTGTGAATATTGCTTATATAAATTTATGTGAAGATAGTTTTTTAAATTCTTCTTTCCATTCATATGCAGGATTCAGAGGGCTTAATTGTGCTAAACATTGGGAGCTACATGGGTGGAGTAGATCTTTGGCAAAATGACTATGAGCATGATGACGATGATTTTAGTCTTCAATCCATTCATGACAAAATGCTTGAAGTAGTGTGTGTTTGTGGAGCATGGCACCTGGGAAAACTTCAGGTATAGGATACTTTATCAGTTAATCTTACTTAATTCTTGAGGTGTTATATATTAAAGGATACAATTAAATATATAGATTAGTCATTAAATATAGCATTTTGAATATCAAAAGTACCAAATAGATTAAACTGTAACCAAAAAAAACTCAAACTACATTGGATAAATAATAGAAAGTTTGAATGAGAGTAGAAACAATGGATCCCAAGTTCCTTACAAGTAGATGTAGGTGGTAGCCCTCTGTTAAGACTGAAAGAGTGAAATCTCAGAAAATGCTCGAAGGCAAAAGAAATAAAAACGGAATGCCAACAAACAGTATTTCACCTATAACCTAACTCAATTCTTGCCTGAACCTCCTCTCCCTCGCATTTATCCCACTTTCTGGTTGTTAACAATCACTTATTTTGTCCGTTTCTCTGCTGGGAGGACAGACCGTCTGGTTCCTCCAAATTTCCCATTTTTCTGTTGGTATGGCAAGTGCGAGTCTTATGTTGGATAAGTGGATATTGAGCATCATGCACTCATTTCACTATTTTTTTGGCAAATTCTAATGAAACAAATAAAAGACATTTACTGTAAATTAGTAAATACTTATGCTTGATTCTCTGCGTAGGTTGGACTTTCGCAAGCAAGAAGGCTAGCTCAAGGTAAAGTCATCAAGATACACTCTTCCAGTCCTTTCCCAGTTCAAATCGACGGAGAACCATTTATCCTACAACCAGGCTACATAGAATTAACTCATCGTGGGCAGGTAATGACACACTTCCGTGTTTTTGTAATAAGTTTCATGTTCATAACTACGTTATAAGCTTTTCACATAGAAGAAATCCAACAAGAATACTGAACACAACAACAAATATCACTCTTATATGGCGATTGATCACGTTGGCTTTTATTTGCTATACTCAGGTATTTATGATGAGGAGGACTTCTGAAGACGAGCCTAAAGGGCAAGCAGCTGCTATAATGACAGATGTATTACTCGAAGCCGAGTCTAAGGGCATCATTAATACATCTCAGAGAAAAGTTCTTCTCAAGGACATAGCCATCAATCTTTCTTAAGATCCATATCTTATTCAGCCTTCTTAAATAGTTGCCCGTACTTGGGTTTTTGTGCTATAGTCCTTTTTTATAGGACCATTTTTGGTAATTTCCAAAAGAATATATAGAGAAAGGTATAGTTACGCTTCCATGAAGAAGCAGCTGATGTAAGAGTGAAAACTGTTGCGTCTAACACACGGTACGTTGTGTATATTGCAACCCGGCATATTACATTTTCTTCAAGTCTTTGTAGTTATACTACCACCACCCAAATTAGATTAGAGAAAAAACAACAACTGAAATGTATATGTTCACGGGTCTTGTTTTTCTTTTATTTTTGTATAACATGGTGTGTGTGTGTGGGCAGAGCTCTCTGCAAGTTAAAAAACAGCTTCCAAGGGTCTTTCATTTGTTTATTTATCTCGCTTGATAAAGTGTATTGTTTTTAATTTAGTTGTTAAAATACTTTTTACTTTTTTCTTTCGATACATTAACTTAAGTACACAGGAGCTCTTGTAGATAACAAATATATCTTGAAGTTTAATTAGAAATTTCGTTGCAATTCATCTCCGAATGTGTTGCAATTAACTTTTTATTTAATAGAGTTTTGTTATCCAGTCCTGCACGAAAGATTAGTCTATACAATTATGAAATAAGAAGACTGCAGTTATTAAAAAGTATACTAATTACAGTGTACCCAAAAATCATTATTGCTTTTTTTCTATTACAATGACATAGTACTAGCATTTTCCACATTATATAGTTATCCCTTCGTTGTTTCAAAATGAGTGTTGTACCAAATGTTATTTTATCAATTGTGCTTTTTAATTATTATTTATGTACACAACTTTTTTTCTTTGAAAACGTCAAAATTGGTTATATTAGTAATGAACAAATCAATCCACTCAAACACAAGATGTTAAAAAACAAAACAAAGAAAATAACAATATTTAGATACACAGTGGAATGACCAATGTTAGATGCATGATTACCCCACTAGGATTCATATCAAGATATGCCTCTGGCTTCTTGGCTTTCGGCCACCATAAAAAAAGATCCCAACCTCCTTCATTTATTGAAGGAGTTTTGATTGTTCATTGTTGAATGCTCGCAAATTTCTTTCCTTCTGAATTACTCAGTTACTCTGATTCAGGTGACTTGAAAACACTTTCGAACCTTTTGTCTGAAAGAACAAGATCTACAAAATAGAGGGGCATGTTATTCAATGTTATTTAAAGGAACACATGAAATTACAAGCCACCATTAAACACAACTTAAAATATGAAAAAAAAAACTCACTCCAAGAAAAGTTGTATAAGACATTCTTTCTTACCGGACCCACATGAACATCCTATCAAGTTTGATGAAAATATTCCTTGTCTCGCCAAGTTGTCTTTAGTGGAAATCCTATTGTTTACCAGCTTCCATGCGAGAACATGATTTTCTTCCAAATGATCTCTTATGTCAGTTTCACAGAATATCCATTATCACGATTAGATTCACATCCAATCGTGAAGAATATTTTTCTACAAAACAATGTTAACCGTCAAAGAATTACACTATGCTCCATGCACCCCATTCCATGCGAAAAGTTTCCTCTGCCGCCTCCATCCTAAACCCCAAAACTCCCAACTTGTTCTTTTCATCTCCGTAACATGTGTTATTGTCAGTTTCTACTCCCATAAGGTTTGCAAAACCTAGAACTAAGACTCATTCCCTCTGGCCAATGGTCATTCTAAGAAGACAACTCTTCCCCATTACCTATTGAACGAGATAAACTATCATCTAACCACCGACACTAAATCAATCCCACTTTTCCTTGACTCTAGCCAAGTTCCTTTACCACACACGCCTTACTACCTCTGTCCTTTATACTCCCCCCTTCTACCACACATTTCGCAGCAAGCACCTTAAACCACAATCCGTTCTGATCAACCTGTAACCTTAACCACCATTTTACGATCTATTGTAAAATAGGTTTTTGATATATTGAAAGTTGGAATTACAATGCTAAAAATAATCTTACTTAAATTGAAAAGAAAAGTAAATCCAATACTTTTTTAATGGCCTCATACTAATACTACATATTACAATTTATATTTAATATTTACAACACCCTCTCAAGCTGGTGAATAGATATCTATTATTCAAAAATTGCAAAGTTGGTTGAATCGTTTTGTTGGGAAATTCTTAATTAACACATCTGTTAGCTAATACCTAAAAGGAATGTAGGCAGTGGTTATTCATCCAATTTCCTACATTTCTTTGATAAAATGTGGCCAATCTCAATGTGTTTGGTTATATCACGCCAAACACGATTATGTATAATACTTATGACCAATTTATTATCACAACAAATTTATAGAACTTTTACATTGTATCTTCAAATCTTCTAGCACTTATTTCATCTGTAATAATTTACAATTTTCTTGTGCCATGACTCTAAAATATAAATATGCTTCGGTGCTTGATCGAGCAACTACATTTTGCTTTTTACTCCTCCAAAAAATTAGGTTCCCACACAATAACGTGTGATATTCCAATGTAGATAAAATGTGGCCAATCTCAATGTGTTTGGTTATATCACGCCCAACACGATTATGTATAATACTTATGACCAATTTATTATTACAAAACAAATTTACAGAACTTTTACATTGTATCTTCAAATCTTCTAGCACTTATTTCATCCGTAATAATTTACAATTTTCTTGTGCCATGACTCTAAAATATGCTTCGGTGCTTGATCGAGCAACTACATTTTGCTTCTTACTCCTCCAAGAAACTAGGTTCCCACACAATAACGTGTGATATTCCAATGTAGATCTTATATCACTTATTGAACCTGCATAATCAGCATCAATGTAAACTCTATAGGAGACTTCTACCTCTTTCAAAAAAGAGTCCTCTATCTGGAGTCACGTTAAGATATTGTAGAACAAGTTTTACAAATTGCAAGTGTATCTTCCTTAGATCATGCGTAAATTGACTGACCATACTAACTGCATATGTTAATCCGGGCTAGTATGAGCCAAGTAAATCAATTTTACCACTAACCTTTGATACTGGCCTTTGTCAACTGTGGCACCTCCTCAAGGCTTTTCCTTTTATTTTTGTCAATGGGAACACTTGTTGGTTTGCATCCAAGTTCCATGTTTCCTGCAAAGATCAATCACATATTTTTTATGAAAGATAAAATATGCCTTATTTTTTAGTAGACTACCTCAATTCTCTGTTAACTTTTCTTTGAATAAATGTCTCTCAAACAAATCATCACCAGTAACAATAATATCATAAAAAAGAAGTTCACTTAGTTTTCCTCGTTAATGTTTGAAAATCAAAGTGTGATCTCCTTAACTATTCTTATAGCCCAAACACATCATCGCCTGCGTGAATCTTCCAAACTACATGAGGTGATTGCTTTAACCCAAATAATATTTTTTTCAATAGATACACATTTTCGTCTCACTAGTAAGACCAAATCTATATGGAAACTCGATATACACCTCATTCCCTAAGTCTCCATGTTAGGAAATATTTATTTTTACATTAAATTGGCGTAATCCCCAACCAGAGTGAACAAAAAGAGATAATAATATTCAATAGGTAAATCATTTTGGTCAATATCACAATTATCATAACTTTAAGAATCACCAATTGTTGTAACCCGAAATTTGACCTCCTTCTTGCCTTTTGCATAAGCATGTGCATTCGCATCATTGGCATACGCATTCACACTTTTTCTCTGTGATTTTTGTTGTTGCAGGAATATTCAAGTTTTGCAAGCCCGATTAATCACATCCTCTCAAAGATATTACTTCATCAAAACAAGCACAAAATGAAGGTTCTATGCCTATTCATCAAAGCAAAATGTCGAAAATCGGAACCATGACCACAACACCATTTTTCAAGCAAAATTGACAAATTTTTCCTGGAGTAACCGGTTACTTATTTGTTAGGAAAAGTAGGGTAACCGGTTACCCAGTACAAAAATGCAGATTTTGTTGCATTTTTTGTAACAACTCTTGCACTCTCTACTATTTTGGAGTCTACATTGTTCTAGCATTGTGTGGAACATTCTAGACATTTCTAGGCAATTCTAGAGACTTCGAGAACATTCAAGACACTTGAATACATTTGCTCCAATACATCATTTCCAATCAAGACCACCATACACCTTTGTTTCCAAGCATGTGAACCATTGGATTTTCAACTTACATTGGAATGGTTACCGAGTCAACTATCTAACTAACTGAGTTAACCTCTAACTCAGTGAGTTGAGCCTAACTAACTCCAAGGCTAGTTCCGAGGCTACATCCAAAGCTCACTCCGAACCTAGCGACTCCGAAGCAAAACTCTATATAAGCAAATCACCACCATTTCACAAGGGGTGGAAATCATTATCTCCTCCAAGGGGGCTCAATCATTTTTTCCAAATTCTCCATTGATCACTCTCAATTCTCTCACATTCTCTCTGAATTTTTTGCAATATTTGCACATTCATCTCCATCATCTTCCCAAAACCTCACTAAAGCTCAAATCCTCCATTAAAGAGTAGCAACTTCTTCATTGGAAGTGCTTTCTCTTGAGCTTAGCCATCATCATCTTGTGATTCTACCTTATTTTTTGGAGTTTTATTGGCTTTTGATTCAACTCAAGTGATTACTTCAAGCTTATTCGGTGCAATTTCGTATTGGGAGATTTCGTCGGAACTTGCTCGGTTTCGCTAGGTTCGGTTGCAAATTCTGAATTATCTGGTTTCCTTTGCTTCTTCTCATCATATATCAATATCAACAACATCCAAGTCAAATCTCAGCCTTGTAGGTTGGTTATCTTTCACTTGATTTACCGTTTCAATCTATTTCGCGCGTTTACGATGTAGTTCGATCGTTTCTTCGATTTTGCTTAATCATGTGATTTCTTGATCTTTGCTCTCCAGGTTAATGCTTTCCATTGATGATTAATTGATGTTTAAGTGCTTTTGAACTTCATTTTTCGTGCATAAATGTCAAGCATAACAT